TGATAGACGAGGTCGTCAAAGCAAATGTCTTTTATTGTGGGGGATTATGTACTAAGAAGTACTAAGTAGTACTAGGAGCCTATCAGAAAATGCGGTCTTAAGCTTGGTAAGCTCTCAGAATCTACCTCGCTTCATCGGTCTATTCCAACAATATCATGCCATGGGAATGCGTACACTATCGAGCTGCCAAGCTTGCTAAGAAACCATCCGACATTCTATGTAGGGCTCCTCAAACCCTACCATCACAACAACGCAATTTTCAACCTGGATGTGATGCAGTCTTATTTGAAAGTGACTTTAGAGCCACGGCTTCGGCACGAGGGTCAAAGCTTGATTTGATTGTCGTCGTCGCCTCAGCACCGCCCTCGGAAGGACGGGAATCATCGGGAACAGCCAGACACAGAGCACGATGACTAAGCAAAAGGCCCTGATCATCTGTCGAAGCCGCATCAGGTGGGAGAGCTTGTGGAGCTTGCTCTAATTGGTGAAATCGATTCTCTATTGTGTCACCAGGCAAGTTTCCATGAGTTCATACGAACTTAGGAGCTTCGCGAAGGACCTGTCGGTAACCAGCACGCGTCGAGAAGAGCTTCTTCACCCTTGTAAAACACAGTTCCGATCCGGACGAAGGCTGTAGGGTAAGTCATAAAAGAAGTAGAGGGTATGGCCGCTCCTACCACCTCCCCCTCTTCTAGATCGACAAAAGAGTCGATCCTACCACGTCGATAATGTGGTGGCGGAAAGAAACGTCCGCTGTTGGAAAGAGCTCTAGATGAAATGGCTGGTGTACTCAGCGAGCGAGATTATGTGGGAGCCTCGCACTCGTATTAATCGCGACTGCCCAGTATCGTTTGCACATTCGATGCGGGTCCAAAGACAGACTCCGCTTAATAAGGCTATCCCTTGCTCTTCTTCCCCTGTCCATCTCGTCGTGAAGTCAACTGATGACCGAGCACACTACGCGAACATCCTCGATATCAGGAAGGATCTGATTTTGCGCTGATTCAGCGCTGTCAAATGCGCAAATTGAAAGCGTATATCGCGCACCTTCAACAAGTCGGCAGCGGTGCCTGCACTTTGCAAATGGTGCTTGTCTACAGATTTGATCGCATGGACCCATGCCCATAGTCGAATGCCGATTGTCTGGATGGAAAACTAGAGTGGATTGCTAGACGTATGGACATACGTGAGGCTTCGGAGTTTACCTTCAGCACGAGCAATCGAGACGATGGCGCGAAAATGCGCAACTTGCGCCATCCGTCGAGCACCAATTCGACTAAAGAGTTCGTCAAACTATAGGATAGATCCACCACGTCTTACGTAAACGTCGTCGTGGCGTTCAAGTTAACGATAGTGCCATTGCGCTGGATGGCGTGGTATTGGAATGAAATCCAAGTTCAATGGTGACGAATATCTCATGTGGAGCAAGCATGTGAGTTGTTACTCAAGCGAGAGATTGAAAGAGTGATAAGAATGATCGGAAGAAGAGCTTAAGAAAATTGATTAACCCACTTTTGCGTGAGGCGTGGTGTAATGGAGCAGGTCTCATTACATACTTTATTTGGACCACATACTTTTAGTGTCTGACATCAATTGAGAGCCATGTATAGCTGTATATCCTATTGAAGTTCCGTTGTATCAGAAATGGAAGTAATTATCTGGTTAGGGAGGCTGAAAGCCTACTGGCTATAAAAATATATCTTCATCTTTTTTCCCTTCTACATAATTCGACCGCCCGCTGGAAGCGGGCAACACGCGGTAAGGCGTGTCAAGTGACCTAGGCTTTTCTCAAAAGTTGTGTTTACACGGTCGGCGATTTTCATTACATTTCTCAGAGCACGAGAAGTCGGAAGTGAAGAATAATATAAATGCTTGAGTGAATTTCTGAAACTCAAAAAGGGGGTAAGAACACTTCCATAACCTTTTAATAAGTATCTCTGCGCCAAAACACACAGATCTCATATTTGTAATTTGAGCGTTAAATTCATTGCCGTGTTATTTACTGTTTTTTTACAGTTTCGCGTCGAGCTGATTTATCGCTGTTTCACAAAGTGCGGGGTGATAATTTAACCAATGTAACTGCAACGTGAGCCGCACCTCTCGACGAGATTTGCTCTTTGAAAAGTGTATCATACTGACCTCGACCACCATGAGGTACAATAGTACAAGTTATACCGTTAGCTCTCACTGACTGGCCACACATGTCTGAGTGGGTGCGCAAGTATGTGAGGACTTATGAGATCTGCCAGAGAGTGAGACCGCAACGTCTACTCAGGCCACACTTCGTTCGTTGGCAGTGCCAGCTGACAACTGAAAGTCTGTGAGTATGGATATCATTTTCGGACTTCCGCATGGCACACCTAACAGTGGCATATGCTCGCCAAAATTTCGACATCAAACGGATGTCACGGTTAGACACGATCTCAACAGAAAGGCCATGCAAGCGAAAAACAACATTTATAAAGACCTTAGCTGTCTTATCGGCAGAGATCTTTTCCGAAATAGGCGCAAAAGGAACCATCTTGCTGAACCGGTCCGGTAACACAAACTGTTTGGACTATTGGGCAACAAATTGTTCGTGTCAACAGCGGAACACACTAAAATGGACCGTCAAACAGAGCATTTGAATTAAGTCCCGGAAGACGTACTGCGTAATGACGCTACGTCGTTCAAAGAGTGCGGTGAATTTGTCTCTTTTGCCGAGTTTGAGTTGAACAACTTAACGCGTGTCTCGACAGGTCATTCGTCATTTTATGTGAACTATGCTATTCGTCTTTAAGTACATGCTTCCATAATGGGCTAGATCTATACCTAAAGTGGGGGGACTATGGCTATAGAGCCACAGTCAGACCTAAATGCTGTCACAGAGTTAGAAGCAAACTTGGACACAATTAGACCTCTAGACGACATAACAAGTAGTAAGGAACAGCACGTCGATGACTTAATTGCGAAGAGACAAGCCGTTGTTTGGATTGTTCGAGACACAATTGCGGAAGCTCAGGATCTGCAAAAAGAACAAGCAGTGAGCGCATAAGGAGAAACAAGAATGTGTGTAAGGTCAATGATCTTCTACTGCTTGAATATGCCTGAACATGCAGTGTCCAACTTCGAAAGCAGGAAGCTTTTACCAAGATTCATGGGACCGTTTAAGGTGTTGAAATGCAATTGTGATGCGTATATAATAGCCATCCATACACGCATGCGCTTACATCCTACATTTTATGTGGGCAGGCTATAGTCGTATCGTTCGAGTGGATCTGCCAATCCAATTCTACCTTTGATAGCTGATCGAGCTGATGATGAAGTTTCTTAGTTTGGTCACATAGAGCTACAAACGCTTCACCCTACAGATTATTCTTGGCTTGCAATCGCTGAAGGACATTGAAGGATTGCTCCTTCACTAATATCAGCACGTGATTGCGAGAATGGTACTCACAGTGATATATCCCAAGCACAGAATCTGTATTTTAGAGCGCAAGTGGTGTTCGTGAGCCATCCCGCGAGATTTCTCGTCCTTCCGGAGTCAAACAAGTTTATCCTGAACCTGATGATACCGATTCAAAATCGGACTCCAAAGCCGAACAACGGGCGGAACCATTTCTGAGAACGTCGAAATTCGAGTTCTGGCTCTCGCAGCGATCTGCAAGCGTCGAGCAACGCTGCTGCAATGCCTCAATTAGCCCGCTATGAGCGCTCTTCAACATCCAGAATTGTTTTCACGTTTAACCGTACCTCCGCCATTTCACTCTTGGGCAGAGCGCATTTGGTGGTTGAGACGATTCTCGTTCACGAGGATCGATCGACTCGTCATCGTGGGAAGAAGTAGTTAAACATCAACGCTTTAACAGAGTTTGGTAACGCGGCTTTCCATCGGACCGGACACTTGGGAAACTCGTCAGGCCTTAGAGTCTAATGCTCCCGACGAGGTCCGCGGCTACAAGAATCGCTTGTAGTGTTGCTTGAGGTAACCTACGATGACCAGAGCTTGGTTGTGCTTGATCGTGACTGGGAGTCCTGCCAGCACCGACTCAGCGAAGCAGACGCTCCATTATGTTCTCGTTTTTAAGGCGAAGAAAAGTCCGCCAAAAGTCAAGCTTAGCTGCGATGGGCTGGGTCGGATCATCACGATTGTTGATCCGACGCCGACAAAAGAAACGTTCCATGTAGAACATCTTGTTTCCATTTTGGATAAGAGTAGAGAAAAAGTCAAAAAGGTCTGGAAATGTTTTTTGCTGTTTGGGCGAAGAACGCTTTTTTATCTTGTCCTGTTCAGTTGATTAATTCATTGTTGATCGGAAAGTGAACTGCTCCAAAAAGTCTGCGAAAGTATCACAGTTTTGTTTACTTTAACGAGGAAATTATATATGCATTGTGGGGATTAATAAATGAGAATTATAGTTTGGTAATTCGAAATGCATACGTGGTTACTTATATGAAGTCCTTAACATTCTGTGTGAGACAGAATGCTGATCTCTTTTTGGGGAACTGTACAGATGACGAGACCGACGTGTTTCTGTCTTTGAAGTGGTTGGTGTAAGCCCGTCCCATCACTGGATACCATTCACGAAAGTTAACGTTCAAGCTTTTTTCAAGCTCAAACTCCTTACACCCACGCTCTTTTATTAGTTGAAGCTGAGGTTTAACTCCAGTACACTCTTTATTTATAGATCAGGAACCCGAGGTTTTTATAGTGAACTTTCTAGAGCGCTAGGGGTGGTATGCATGTAGCTATGAATCATGAATCATTTTGATTTTGTCTGCAAATTTACCTGTAAGGTATGCAGTCGTTCTTCTTCCCTCCAAGTCGGGACTATCCTTATCCGTCCACGTCGGGCTTCCTCGTCGCACAAACGTGTGTGTTGTGTTTGAGGGACTGATTGTGGACAACGCCCTCTTACATGTATCAGTATATCAACCCCATTGAATGTTAAGAATACACATTTCCGAGCTGGTCGCAAAGGCGGTAATATGTACTCGAAAGTTATCTGTGCCGGAAATCCTCATCGTGAGATGCCACCGACACCAAGTGTCGAGCAAGACTATATATAGCGATTTCGACATTCAAACCAGAACTCGATAGAGAAACATCCGAGCTTTAAACTCCAGGATTGTCGGACGAGAACCGTGAAGTGACCGCTGGAAAAGCCACACTGGCCAACACAAGTTCGACTTGATCATACTGAGTAATGCACCATTCTAAAAGAAAATATCGTCGACCCAAAAAAAATTTTTTGGATGCGCCAACAAGAAGCTTTCTTAGCATATACACTTGATCATTGCTCGCAAATCATCAATATGGGTGTCCACATCTGAGCTCGACCTCGAAAAAATATATCGATGGTCGTTAATTTGAACAGTCCTTGTTGTATCGACAGCCGATCTCAAATCATCCGGATCAAAAAATTTACCGCCATTAGATGTCTTGGATTAGCAATTCACGTTGTAAAGAAGTGACTGAACAAGATACAAGCGATCATGCTTATCTACAGTTCGTACTTTCTAAAAATCAACATTTGCGCCTAAACATGTGAGGAGTCAAATATCTACAGATATTTTTTCTTTGTTGCTAGAAGATTAGCATATTTTGGTGACTTAGAGCCCATCTCACTTGTCTCCCTCGGATCATGAGGTGCATTGTGCGTTGGTGCGTGGTTTGGATGCCGCGCCAAATGTCAAAGATCTATACCCGAGGGAACAATTTGGAGTCATAACAGCTTTCCGTTTTTTTGCCGCACAAATCAGGTTCATGAAAGAGAATGTCTACGCCCATTGCTAATCTTTGCTTTGAAAAGAGAACGGCAAGTGGTAAATTTGCGCGTGCTGATTGTAGGCGAATGCAGCCAATTCTAGGCTCTGCGTTATTTCTTATCCCCTCTTCTTCTATGTGCCTTCAATGACGATTCCATCCACGCATATCATATTCGTATCAGTGTCTTGACACCACCTCTTGATATCTACTGTTTTGTACAGCTTGAATCGATAAAAAAATTATTGACCCACAGAACGCTTAATTTTGATGCCGACACTGAAGACCCTGAACTGAGCCAACTCTCAAAGATAAGTAGTCAGATTGAAAAATTCGTACCAGTTACATTGACCTTCGGGAGGTGTGATGAAATTTGTACTTATCAGCTGACGCCATGTTTGTGCGGAGACTCGACAGTTTCTAATATGTATGTTGTTTCTATTAGCCCTTTGCGGGATCCCGACACGTCAAATCTCGACTGAAAAATAGGGTGGCGCGCAGGGTGTAACGTTGACTCCCGCCACAAATGTAAAATTCGTGAATATTACAGAACTGCTTGGCATCCAAGTTATCTTTACCCTTCTCTTGCGAATGACTGAAACTTCTCATTCCTGGACGCTGTATGAGCGCCCACATTTCGTTATTTAATAGGCTCTCGCGGTACAACAGCCCCTTAAGGCGACTTCGATGGAATCTTTTCTTCCTGGAAAAAAATCTGCCGTCGTTGTGGCCTTGAAATTTTTCAGCTTTGAAAACAGTTGCCACTTTGCCTCACTTGACAGACAGACAATCATTTGATCGCATACGACACGCCGGGTGAACCATTGAGAATACTCGCATCGTTAGTTCCTCCCCAGTAGGCTGCCTTGTGCGAACGATCGCAATATTGGGTAAAAATATTTATGATCCGGCACCGCATGTAATCCACCACTCCGATATGTGTCCATCTCGCCTGGGGTCACCAGGGTAATGTGCTTACGATCCATCAAAAGATCGGCCTAAATCGCGGCCATCATGACTTCTCTTATCCGGAGAGAGAGTAGTCCCTAACTTCGAAGGCTGGGCGCGTTACATGGAAGAACGCAGAGTAAATCCGGTTGGTTAAGTATCGATGCCTGGATTGGCACTATCACGGAGTCTCACAAAGTTTTTTTAGCTGGCAAAATGCCCGAAAAATGTATTCTTCTCATTTGCACATCGGCAGTTAATTGCCGTTTTCAACATACTTGCAGTGGACTTTGCCTCACAATGTTTGTGTAATTTAACGCAGAGGATGCATGTATGCACTCACCTAACCGACCATTCGTTGACGAAGATCCATCGTCAATATCAAAACCAGTATTTTGGTATCAGATACATTACAGAAAAGCTTACATATACTCACGCAATTGTGCAGTATGCTCTCCGTCATGCCCTATCCCATAAAGATGTGTCTTTTACAAATTAAAATTTACTGGATTACAGTGCAAGTGAGCACTCAACAAGCAAACTATACGCTTGAAACTTACCTCGACTCCTTGCACCCTTCTATGCCTACTCATATACGTAATATGGTATGGCTCTGTGAGTCTCTGAAAAATGTGCGGCGCTTGCGAGCCATGGCCAAGGGCCGTCCTCCTGAGGAAGTCTAGGTGCTCTTTGATCCGTATAGTCACAGGGATTCTTAAATTCTGGAACCGTCGTCTTTGACCACATTCGGAGGTTTACGCTTGAAGCGCTCACTGAGGATGAGGCGTTTTCTTCGGTCCATCTCTCTTCTGCATGTGCCACGCGCTTCATACTCAACCCAAACGGTAAGATAGCTGAGACCCCTGCTATAGAACTCAGCGCGACGCCTTGCCTGTAACTAATGAACAGTACCTGGCCAAGAAAGCCATACTTGCCCGTCGGTAAGCACACAGCTCCCGCGAACGTCATTACGCCGTGATTTTGGTTTAATCCAATCTAACGTTGCTCACTACACCAGTGCAGAGTTCTTGCAAGTCTATGCGCAGATCATCTGCTCAAGCCGAGAATGACACAAGCGCCAAAAAATTGCTTCATCAGCGCTTAAAAATTTTAAAAGTCAGAACTTGTTTGGAGAACCGTCTTTGCTTAAAGCAGCAGCGGTCGGTTAGATCCATACCTGAAATGAGATCGTACATTCGATACTGAATGCTGATAGGATTGTTGATAAAATATTGCATTTAATTTGCACATATGGTCAGGAGGCTGCGTCGCCTCAGTTGTATCGCAGATTTACCAGTCACCTTCGGTGACTAGAGTGTCATTTACGGATTTACTCTACGAGGCAAAATGTACGACATGGCCGTCGATGTGAAGAACCATTTTTCTGTGTCCTGTTAGTAGCAGCTTCGCTCATTGCTATGAAACAGATAATCAGATATCGATCAAATTATGCACTTGCAAAAGGTAGGAGGGTCCACTCACTGGTGGACAGCGCCCTGTTCCTGGCGACTCTGTGTCTTATCCAGGGGTACAGAGACCGAGGATGTTTTTAATTCTAAATGACAACGCGAGAGGATATTCCAGTGCGACTTAACCTTTCTTGAGGTTTAACTGTGTGCGAATCAATTACGGCACATGATTAAGTGTGCGTACTTGTAATAAGCCGACCGTACCCACAATTCATGTATGATCACATGTCATCATATCGGAGTGCTGCAGAACAGCATAATCGGCTGTACTTAATTTATAGTTTTAGTGGTATTATCATGCTCTTTCTCTTTCATTGAGGTGCGTTAACCGGGCGTAATGTCTATGGGTGCTTGTTATACCACAGGGACTGTCTAATGTGCCAGCAACGTTTCATTGATTTAGTGATTCAGCTATTCGAACCACGTATAAGCCGATACCGATCATGCCTCGGTCCATTGGTTTGCAGATCACAACACTTCCGTTAGTGATGATCAACATCGAACACCTGCGAGCGGAACTCAAGTGTATGCCTTCCAATAAATTTTTCGACAGTGAAAACAATTCTGGCGGACGCAAAAGTCTTTTATATTGCTACATTTAAAAGCAGGGCCTGCAAGCGAGTCCCGCAATAATAACTGCCGTCCTGATTTGGTCAGTTTTACCGTCCCAAACGTACCTGGCCCGGCCAACTACTTGCACAAGTGCATTGTAAACTATGCCGGCAGGATATGTGATAGTGTTAGTGCTAAGTGGCAGCGGCAACCGTCGAGGCTTTGAATAAAAGCTTCCGATGTACTCCCAATTCTGGCACTTCCAAATTCAGTTTAGCCTATCCCCGTTGTTTGTGATGCTCTAGCCGTTGCAATAGACCGAAGCGTTGCTTTTAGAAGATATGTACGCTTGATCGTGCTTGACTCATGCCCGCCAAAACCACCGGAAAGTGCTACTATGTTTATCTTGCAGTAGAATACGCCTTTCGTCAGGCTTAGAGCGCACCTGCTAACATACAAATCCTGCGTTGTTGTGCGTAGCGATGTTGGCGCCGCATTCGCACAGAAATGGCAAGATTGTTTTCCTTATTTGCCGATCATCTCGTTAATGTAAGATAAAGGCTGGGTTGGGTTTAATGTTGAGGCAGATACGCTTTTCCGTCACCCGGCTATGTATTTTTGCACATCACAATGGTAACGACGCAGATAAATAAAGTGAAAGTAGAACTTACAAGTCATTTTTCGCTGCTGATAGTTTTATGAATTAAGGAGTCTGGAAGCCTTTCATATCGGTCTATCAAAGCGCTCAGTTGCAAATTTACATCGCTATGTTATACCCCAAGGCTTTCAGTTTTATAAAACTGGGCCATATGACGCTCTACATGTAGTGGTGCCTCATGAAAAGTATCTTAGATACAGAAAATTGAACAAGACTTAAATGACCACCTCAGACGACAGCGACATACTAATCAAAAAGCGTTATTTATTGGTGGCTCCAGATTAATAAATTGGTAAGTACATATGCTCGCACGTGGGAACGTGTCAGCACAAAAAGCGTTTACCGCATTCCTCGATACGTTTGGCCGTCCTGCCAGTTCCAGCAGATTTTCAGCAGTCTTTTTTATGGACATTGTGTTCGGTCTATCATATGCATCTGCTAATGTCGGTATTCTGGTCTTTGTGGGCTGTTCAAGCGTTATGATTTATCTCGTTGTAGTCAGCGATATTGTCACCTATGGAGATTTATCCAAGCTAATCATTGTCAACGGGTTTCAAGACATTTTTTGCTGGTAATCATTGGATTAGAAAGGGATTTGCGTTATGAAGCGTAATTGTGCTATCTACCTAATTGGAAATGTCAACTGTCGACGAACCGCGACAGATTGACATGGAAGGCGTCAAAGCGATGGTGGAGAATTTTCTTCGGCGCACTTGCACGGAGAGACATTGGTACTAAAGCAGATTACTCCAATACATCGAGTTTGCGGGGAATAATGCCTGACTCCATTCTGTTAATATTTTAATGAATGTTTGGGTGTCTTTGACACTGCCACGAATTCGATCTGGCCTTTTGTTATCGGTCAAAATTGGCTTGCTGATCATAGCCCGGCTACACCTCATAGCGGTTTACTAAGTCAAGTTTTCACCACGTCGCTCGGTCACAAAGAGAATTATAACGCGCTGTGTAAAGCATCCATAATACAACTGCAGTTTCATGCCCACGAGCCAGGCAGACAAAAAAATCGCCGTGACAGCAGAAATAAAGTACCTGCCATATTATGTGGCATTAATACCGTCTGCCCCACGGTGGCGACCCTGTTTTTGAGGCGCTTGGTGTCCCTCAAGCAGAGTAGTGAGATAACAAAGTTAAAAAATCGCGATTTTGCTCATCGCAGCTTCAGATGTACGTTGTATCTCTTGGAGAGAGTTATCTCACAGACACAGTCGAGGGAGCTTGCAAAAAAACGGTCGCGGGAAAAGCCGACCTACACCAGTATCGTTTGATGAGAACAAGTGGACCTCTTGCGTGGAACGTTTGGTGAACCATTGGTGCAATACGGCTGTTATCAATACCAAATTAAAAAATTCTTAGTCGGTACACCGTGAAAATTTGATATCCCATTTTTTGCAAGATTGCCCTGGTGACGCGGCCGCTTGGACCTGGCGCACTTTCGACCTTTATTCATCCGAAGAAGAGTCAAGATGGTGCGTCACAGCGTGCATTTAAGCTCGTGAATGACGATCAATTTTGCGTTCAATAGTACCCGTGGTCAATAACTGCCACTTAGCTATCGCGTGGAGTCGGGTGGGACTACTCATATCGGAATCTTGGAATGGTATAATTTCAACTCGAAGTTCATGTCGTGTATAAAGCTTTGCGAAGTCAAACATAGGGGGGCGCTCTGGGCGAACATCTGCTTTGCTGTGGTTTGCTTGTAAAGCCTGATTATGGGGTGGAACAATACGTCAATCTTATCCCGTGCGCGACAAGATTTGTCTACTCAGCTGAACTATCGCTTCTTTCATGTGAACAAAAAACATCGAGCAAATAAACATGTTTATTCAAACGCTGCTGGTCCTAGTGTAGACGGGACTACTGGGAAATGACGATCTATGGGTTTCGAAAGCGCTCGCGAGACGGTTTCCTCGCGATTGCCACGCTCAGGATGAGGTCAGAAGACTAGTATGCCTATGTAGAGGCGAGCGACGTCTGTACGAGTAAGAATCCTTACAAAAACGTAATTTGAGTAACCCCCGGTGTGACTCTTGTACTTGCACCAAAGCAAATAGACTACTTGATTCAGTATCATCGAGTCGGACATCGGCGTGGGTCCCACGGTGATTGGCAAAACTTTTCTTGTCGATGAAAAAGTTCATGGAGCTAGAACTTGTGCAGCGAAGTTGTTTAGCGCAGTTAGCGCCTACTTTTTG